TAGTCAACAAGAGAAAAAAAATCCTGATGCTATTTATTTGAACTTGCAATCATTGAAGGACATTTCAAAATGGTCATTGATTTGGTAGAAACTTGATCAATCCTTTTAATTACTAAACTTATGATTTACAAAAGAAAATTATATATTCTATAGCTTATTATTTATCAAGAGCCCAAGAAAAATGTGCATTGTGGTTCAATACATGATTTAATTTTCCCTTGAAAACATGTGGCCTGGTTTTGGTTGAGACAGAGTCAAAACCATAGTAACATGATGCCTTTTTTCAGAGAACATTGCTTCTTTTGAGTCTGAAGAAATTTTATAGTAATTTGGTGCATTCGGATGAGACAGTGTTTCTTTGTATATTATCCTTGTAGCTTTCTCATTGTTCTTGAAAGACAGGCAGTAATATGAAAGCTTTTAATAGGTTAAAACTGTGCTTGCATTTGACCAATTGTAGTCAAAATAGCCCACTGGTTGGTAAATCATAGCATTTGAAGTGAAATCATGCCAGTACTAAATGCTGTTTGTATTGTAGAGGTCTCCTGACAGAAACTGAATTACAGAAACATGTACTGAATTGGTTTTATATGAAGACAGTATTACTACATTGTGGGATATTTACATTAGAATGGCAGCACTGAGAATGATGTCATTTGTCATAATTCTGTCTTCAGTTTTCAGTTTCCCATATAGCGATTCCTTTTATGTTTGATTCAGTGAGGATCTAAATCTTTTGAGTTTCATAGTTCATTAATAAATTGTGTTCAGTAAAGGTTCTAGGTTCTTTTTATGCATCTTTCTTGCTGCTAAAATATGTTGCTCCTATACTCCTTAAGATATATGCTTGCCTTCCACTTTCATTCTTTTCTGTACCTCCGATTTTGGTCACTCATGGAAGTAGGATACTACCATAACTGGATCTTTAGTCTGGCTGCAACACATGCTTTTATGTAATCGAACAGTATATGTGTTATAAGTGTGAGGAACTGTACGATAAAAAAAAAAA